AGCTCACGCTCCCGAGGCAGGGGCTGTGGTAGGCGGAGTTGTGGTGAACTGGGATGGGCTGGATACGGAGAAGTAACCGGAGCTCACCCTCCTGAGGCAATGGGCAGTGCTATGTGAGATAAGCTGGGGAATGTACAGGATACAAGGAAGTAGCCGGAGCATGTGCTCCTGAAGCAGGGGGCTGTGCCACGTGGGAGCGAGACGGCAGAGGACGAGTTCCCTTTGCTTAATCCCCTCCCTAAATGCAACATCAACCCCAGACGCCTCCTTCCTGTGTCCTTCCTGACTTCCTGGGTCACGTACCTTCCCTTTGTGTAGCACTGACCCCAGACGCCTCCTCCCGGTATCTGGGCCTGACTTCCTAGGTCACGTGCTCTCTCTTTGTCTATGCGCTAATCCCAGACGCCTCCTTCCTGTATCCGGTCCTAGCCTCCTGCGTCACTTCCTCTCCCTTGGTGCGCTAAACTCAGACATCCCCTTCCGGTATCTGACCCTACAATCATTGACTAGTAGGCGGGCTGAGGAGGAGGGGCTAAGTAGGTACTTAAGGAACGGTTCTGGTCGGAGCTCGCTCTCTCTTTGCTCCTGCTCTCTTGCTATGGCCTTCCTGCTTGGCCTTGCTGTGATGGCCTCTGAATAAAGCTCGGGTGTTGGCACCTCCTGGTCGGCTCGTCTCTGTGTGTTTAATCCGGGTAGGCACTGAAGACTGGTAAGTATGACTCTGGCAGCCTGCTCCTTATAGGAGGAGAGTGCACGGCGCGGCCGGCACAAGAAAGGAAGGAAGAACCAAGCATTTATTAAGACATACTGTGTGCCCAGCACTGTGCTAAGTGCTTTATATAAACACAATCTCATTTGATCCTCACAACGACCCTGGGAGGTAGGTGCTGTTATTATCCCCCATTTTACAGATGCGGAAGCTGGAGCAAAGAAAGGTTAAATGACTTGCCCAGGGTCATACAGCTAGTAAATGTTTGAGGGCCAGATTTGAACTCAGGTCTCCTTGCCTCCAGGCCCAGTGCTCTATCTACTGCATCACAGCTGCCTATCACACACCCCATCAGCTCTGCTGTCACTCAACTATCTGTTGCCATGCGAGTGTCACTCACAATGTTGACTCTCTAGAATTCTAAGTAACTCAGCATATCATCTGCAAAAAGTGATAGTTTTGTTTCTTCTTTGCCTCTGCTTATTCCTTTAATTTCTTTTCTTGTCTTATTGCTATAGCTAACATTTCAAGGCCAAATTGAATAGTAGTGGTGGTAATGGTGATAATGGACATCCTTGCTTTACCTCTGATCTTATTGGAAAGACTTCTAGCTTGTCCCTATTATAAATAATTCTGGCTCTTGGCTTTAGGGTTACTACTTATCATTCTAAGGAAAGCTCTGTTTATTGTACTTTCCATTGTATTGATTGTATTTTATCAAAACTTTTTTCTGCATCTATTAAAATAATCATATGCTTTTTGTTGTATTTGTTATTAATATGGCCAATTATGCTTATAATTTTCCTAATACTGAACCGGCCCTGCATGCCTATAAATCCAGCCTGTGTATGATCTTTGTGAGATATTGCTGTAATATTCTTGCTAATATTTTATTTTAAAATTTTGCATCAATATTCATTAAGGAAATTGATTTATACTTTTCTTTCTCTGTTTTGACTATCCCTGATTTAGGTATCAAGACCATATTTGTATCACAGAAGGAATTTGGGAGGACTCTGATTTTGCCTATTTTTTTCAAACAGTTTATATAGTATTGGAGTTAATTATTCTTTAAGTGTTTGGTAAAATTCACTTGTAAATCTATTTGATCTTAGTTTTCTGGGGGATGGAGAGGAGTTCATTTATGGCTTGTTCAATTTCTTTTTTTAAAGAAAGAGTTATTTAAGTATTCTATTTGCTGTTCTGCTCATTTCGGCAAGTTATATTTTTGTAAATATTTATCCATTTCATTTAGAAGGTTGGTTTTCTTGACCTGGAAACTCTGAGTTTTGGCTGTAACATTCTTGGGAGTTTTCATTTTGGTGTTTATTTCAGGAGGTGGCTATAGATTCTTTCAATTTCTACTTTACCCTTTGATTCTAAGATATGTGGGCAGTTTTCTTTTATGATTTTTTTTGGAAATATGATATCTATTTTTGTTTATAGCTTTCAAGTAGACCAATGATTCTTAAATTATCTCTCCTCGATCTATTTTACAAATCATTTGTATTTCTGAAGATGACATTTAACATTTTCTTCTATTTTTTCAGTCTTTTCAATTTGTTTTATTATTTCTGGATGTCTCATGGAGTTATTGACTTCCATTTTGCTAATTTTCATGTCCTTTTGGTTTTGTTTTGTTTTGGTTTGGTTTTTTTTTTTTTTACGAAGCAATGGGGTGGGTGAAATGACTTGCCCAGGGTCACACAGCTAGTAAGTGTCAAGTGTCTGGGGACAGATTTGAACTCAGGTCTTCCTGAATCCAGGACCAGTGCTTTATCCACTGTGCCATGTAGCTGCCTCCATTTTGCTAATTTTCGAGGAGTTATTTTCTTCACTGAGGTTTTATATTTCTTTTTCCAAGCTGTTAATTGGCTTCTCATAGCTTTCCCAGCTCTTACTTCTTTTCCCATTCTTCCCTTTATTGTATTCCCTATTCATTTGGTTGAAAACAGTTTTTTTTTGCTCTTTCTTAAACTCTCACTTTTTTCTAGGAATTCTTGTTGGTCTTGTGTCCCAGCTGTGTTTTTCTCTGAGGCTTTGCTTGTAGATGTTTTCAAATAATTCTCTTCTTCTGGGTTTGTGTGTTGAGCTTGAGGTAACTAGGGGGCACTGCAGTCAAGAGAGCGCTGGTCCTGGAGTCAGAAAATCCTGAGTTCCAATCCAGCCTTAGACACTTTACTAGCTATGTGACCCTGGGCAGGTCATTTCACCTCTGTTTAGCTTAGTTTCTTTAGCTGTAAAATGAAGATAATAACAGCACTACCTGCTAGGGTTGTTGTGAGGATCAAATGAGATCATATTTGTATTTTTTTTCTTTTCTTTTCTTTTTCTTTTTTTTCTTTTTCTTTTTTGTTGAGGCAATTGGGGTTAAGTGACTTGTCCAGGATCACACAGCTAGTTAAGTGTCAGGTGTCTGAGGTCAGATTTGAACTCAGGTCCACCTGACTCCAAGGCTGGAGCTCTATGCACTATGCCACCTAGCTGCCCCATCATATTTGTAAAAAAAAAAAAAAGGCATTTAGCACAGTGCTTGGCACATAGTATTTAAATGATTTTTTCCCTTCTCTTCCTTTTGAGTGTCTCTGTCCTTGTACTAGCTCTTCATGGTTGGGTTCTTTCGCTTGCTCATTCTTCCAGCCTGTGTCCTGCCTGACTTTAGACTTGATGTTAAGGCTGGGCTCTGCCACACTTCTGGGGAGAAGGTCTGTTATGTCTTTCTGCTGTTTTCCCAACTCAGTGTGGGGGCCTGCATGTGTTCGGTACTTCTGAAGTGGTGTGATCTGGGGAGGGGTCTGCTCCCTGTCCTCCTCACCAGAGGTCTGCATGTTCCTGACCCAGGTTTGGGTCTGTTGGCTCATGTGTGGTTCAGTTGCTATAGACGGCTGCTGGACTCAGTCACTGTTAACCCACTGGGAGGTTCTGCAGGTTTGGAGCAACTGAATGCAGTCCCTGATTTGGTCTGGGAACCCTGCCCTGGTTACTCCACTGCAGGCTTACATGGTGGGCTAAAGGCTAGAACTGAGTCCCTGCTCTGCTCCTGGGCTCAGAGCCCCACAGCCCCCCACGTGCACCCTGCTCAGTAGGCCCTACTGAGGGCCAACATTCATGACCCCACTCTTCTCTGCCCTGGATCTGGAACCCAGAATTGGGTAGTAGGAAGTAGAGCTGCCAGATGGTGGTAATTCAAGGATTCCCTGGGCTCTCTTTCTGCTTCAGTATTTCCTCCAGGTACCCAGGATTGGCCCTCTGTCCTCAATGTCTGCGAACCTCTCTGTCTCCCCAAGCCAGGAGAGATGGGCTCAAAAATGACTCACTCTTACTTTGTCTTGGCTTTCCCAGTCAGAATCCTACCTTCTCTAGGAACCCTTTCCCAACCCTTCTTAATTTGAATGTCTTTCCTCTTCTAACTATTGTCATTTATTCTGTCCATAACTTATTTGTACTTCCTTGCTTACTTGTTGTCCCCTCCATTCCTCAAGGGCAGTCTTTTGACTCTTTTTGCATCCCCAGCACTTAGCACAGTGCCTGGCACATAATAAATGCTTAATAAGTGGTTTATTGACCGATTGAGAATTCATTCTGGTCCTTTTTCTTGGTTGTTGTGAAGGGCTTGTCAGGATCTCGGCTCTATGGCTTCCTGTCTGCCATCTTGCCTCGGCCCCCTTGGTGCTGCTGACAGAAAACAGATCGGAGCCATCAGTGGTTTTCCTCAATACTCCTCACCGGACTGTTGTCCAGGTGGAGTCAGGCAGACCCCCCTCTGGAGAGACATCTAGTGACTAGTCTTGGCCAGGTGGTGGCAACCACTTCCTTCCAGTGCCTTTTCAGTGGCTGGTAGCAGTATTGGCAAGGATTCTTGGCTGTCCCTCATTGACTGCACGCTTCTTGTCCAAGGTCAGCACGCTTTCCACTCTACCAGTCTGGCTCCAGCTTGGACTGTGGCAAGTTTGTCCCTGTTGGGTACTCTCCCTGTAGGAACTCCTTCTCCTGAAGCAAATTGGCAAATGACTCACAGAGTAACTTTTACGTGTTACCATATTTAAGTGGGTTCAGACAGGAGATGGCTGAGTTGGTTGTTTTTTTTTTTTTTTGAGGAATGTGAATATGTCACCTGGGGGGGGGATAACAGCAAAGATACCTGTGCCCAGGTGTGCCCATCTGTTTTATTGGCAGTTCAGCCCCTCCCTCAGGCACAGGCTTCTGGGGGAGGTTCAGGAAGGAGCTGTCGTATGATAGCAGCCCTTCTCCATGTTGAATGTGTGTGTCCTTGCTTGTGTCCCCCTTCCAGGAGAGAAGCCATACAAATGCACCTGGGAAGGCTGCACCTGGAAATTTGCTCGCTCAGACGAGTTGACCCGGCATTTCCGAAAGCACACAGGCATCAAACCCTTCCACTGCTCAGACTGTGACCGAAGCTTCTCCCGCTCAGACCACCTGGCCCTCCACCGGCGGCGGCATATCATGATGTGAGCCTGGTTGCCGCCACGTCCTGTCCCTCCTCTCCTCCTCCTTGTCCTCTTCTTTCTCCTTCCTGCTGCCCCTCCCCTCCTTCCCCCTTTCTCTTTCCCTTCCTCCCTCCTGTCCTCCTCTTTCTCTTCTCCCTGCCCATTCCACGCCAGAGTCACCACCACCGCCACCACCGCCATGAGGCCCTCTGCTTTGGCAGTGCTGCACCTAGAAGGAGAGTGAAGAGGGTGAGCCGGAGCGGCTCCCCGTTGACCTCCCTAGAGCCCAGGCGAGAATTCAGCCCAGAGTGGGTGACTCTCATGGTCACCTCCGCACCTGTGAACACAGCCACGTGAACAGAAGCTGGGAGCTCAAGTTTGGGCTGAGCTAACCCTGTTTTCTCTCTTCTTTCCTGTTGTTTCCTTTTCCTTCCTGTCGTTCCACCTTCTACCCAGCTCTTGTCCTGCTTCGGATCAGTGTTTGGAGTGAGTCGGCCGGTAACTTTCTGATACCCCTTTCTCCCACGTAGGCCCTTGAGGGACATGAATGCAAAGTAATTGGTCATTGCCCAGATTTCTTCCCCCCCTCCTCCGACTGAGCTTCCCCCCTGCCCCCCACCCCACCCCACCCCACCCCACCCCACCCCTCCCCCCAGGTCCCAAGCCCACTGCCCGGACATAGCAGGCTGCTGGGTTCAAGCTAAGCCTGGGGAGTCACTGTCCATGGTGACCTAGTTGAGGCTGCCATGCCCCAGTGCTAGAAACCCTTGGCCAAAAGAAGCCACAAGCAGGAGGTAGGGCCTTGGTTCTGGGATAGATGGCAGCTTTGAGCAGGGCTGGGGGCTGCTGGGTGATCAGGCACTTTTCTTCCCAGGAAACTGGCAAGTTCCCTGGGATCTTTCTCCAAGACTGAGCCCCAACAGTGGAACGCAGACGACCAGTTGGCAGCTACTTCAGGGTACCTCCTGCTGCCCACTTACCTGCCAATGGACTCGGATGCTGAGTAAGCCCCTGCTGCCTTCCTAGTGTCAGGCCAGCAGGGCTCATTTAGAAACAGTGTTTCCCAATACACCAGCAGCCCCCAGGCCCTGGCCTTGTCCTCCTCCTGAGGAGGGGAGAGGAGATAAGTGGCAGCAATTCCTGGGGCTTCTCTGCCTCCTCTTATGCACAGACCACTGGCTGCTGCTGCTGCCACTGGGAAGTCCTGCCTCACTGGCCCTCCCAAGCTGGAGGGTGGCAGGACACAGTTTCTCCCACTGACCTTTCCCTTTTCCCTTTTCAAAGGCCCCTGAGGGGGAGCCATCCTCACTGGAAGGTTCCGCTGGCCACTTAGCTTTTCTCTCCACCTTTTGCCTGCTTTTTTCTAGTTGGGTGCTTTGCCCCCTGCCTACCAGGGGCCTTCTGGCCTTGCTGTTTGTCGGTATGGGAATCTTGGGGGCTGAGCTAGGCTCGACGGGGCCCCTTTCGCACTGAGGGCACCACCTTATGTCAGTGGACCTGAAAGACCCAGGCCTGACATTTTCCCACCTTGTCCTCCACTTCCCCCAGATGGGTTGCTAATCACATGACTGGGGACAAGGACTGCATTTGCAGCGATTGCCAACCTCCAAGGAAATGCCCCCATCGAGGGGTGTCGGGGGCCTGCTCTTTAGCCTGACTTCTAGGTAGGCGTAGCCAGGAGCCGAGGAGCGGATTGAGAGGAGAACCTCCTGGCACGACTCCTCCCCCTACTTCTTCCCAGACCCGGGAACTTGGGAGCCCAGAGTTAATGCTATCCATTCCCAAATGGGATACCTTTTAGGGGAGGGTGCCACGAAGGCCCCCTTGGCACCAGGCTCCCTCAATAGTGCCCTGCAGTTTGTGATTCACGGAGAGGCCTGGGAGAGCGGCCAAGGTCCAAGGGTTGGTTTGGGACTCGGAACGAACGCAATGTTCCCTTTCTGCTTCTGATGTTCAAGCACATTTCGGCAGGCGGTCGGGGAGAAGGGTCTTGGGTGGATACTCAGCTGGGTGGGGGTGGGGGGATGTCGTGGGGGATGATCTGAACTCAGGCCTCGTGAGATGTTGTTGTTATGGGCTGGACAAAGCGTTCATTGCTCATTGTGTGGTGGGTTTTGAGGTTCTACTCTTCTTGGGAGTGTTCAGCTTGGACCTGTTTCTACAGAGCCTTGGTTAGTGCAGATGGGTACATGAAGATGGGCTGTTTGGCTGCTCTCGGGCACTAGCTCCTGGAGTTAGAGTCTATTTGGCCAAGCCCAGCCTTGGGGAGATGTGGGGTGCAGCTGAGAGAGGCGCTGACTGGCTCCCGGTGACTGGCGCTCGCTCGGGCCCTGCCCCTGTGCTTCTTCCCAGAGCCCTCCCTGTACAGCTCTTCTTCTGGGCCACTCTGAGAAGCAGGTGCAGCCCCTCTTTCATTTCCCTGAAAGGTGGTTAGTCCAGCCTCTTCTCAAACACTGGAAGTGACAGGGAGCTCACTACCTCCAGAGGCAGCCCCTTTTATCTCCAGGTGTTTTCTTGGGGCTACAAGGCTAACTTCCCCAGGTCTCTCCACCTCCTGGTCTCAGGCACAACCCTTTTCCCAGGGATCTCTTCAATGAAAGAAATAAAATTAAGTACAATTTTTTTTCCTGTGATTACCGTTTGATTTGTATAGACTTTTAGAAAACTTTATACTGTATAGTGTACAGGTCTATTGTTTATAGTTGATTAAATAGTTGATTAAATCTAGTGTGTGTGGTCATTTCTGTGCCAGGCAGGGGTGGGGGGAAGGGAGAGGAGCGTCTGCTCTGCTTCGAGGCTATTTGCCCCAGCAACATTCCAGGCTCTAGACGTAAGGCCTCCTGGTGCTGCTCGGAGGAGGGCCAGGTAGGGGACAGCACAGTGCGGTGATTTATTCGTGCACATCTTCCAGGCAGTTTTTGGAGAGGACCTGAGCCAATTGTTGGTAATGTTGAATTCATTCTCTCTCCCCGCCTCCACCCTGGTGCCCTGCCCCCCCCTTCTCCTCCCCCTCTCTCTCCTCTCTCTCTGTCTCTCTCTTTCTCTCTTCTCTCTCTGTCTCTTTGTCTCTCTCTCTGTCTCTCTCTGTCTCTTTGTCTCTCTCTCTCTCCCTCCTCTCCCTCTTCTCTCTCTCTGTCTCTGTCTCTCTCTTTCTCTCATCTCTCTGTCTCTTTGTCTCTCTCTCTCGCTCTCTCTCTCATCTCTCTCTGTCTTTGTCTCTCTCTCTCTTTCTTTCTCCCTCCCTCCTCTCCCTCTTCTCTCTCTCTGTCTCTCTTTCTCCAGTTGAGCTGATGAGCATCTCAGAGACTTTCTCTTTACAGTTGGCAATCTCTTTAGAAGCATAGAGCCGACCCAGGAAACTGTGCCCACCAGCCCTTGTACTCCTGGTTGGTGGTGGGGGAGGGCAACCTTGGGAGCCAGTGAGGAAGCAGACAGGTATCACGAGGTGCCTTTTTCCAGATGCCTTGGCGTTCTGCTGTTCCCTGCTTTGTCTCTATCTCTCTCCAAGTAGGTGAGGGAATGTCATTTGTCCAAATTTAGGAGACGCTATAGATCCACTTTCATCACCTTCCTCCTCTTCCCTAATTTTTCAGACCCTTCCCAAATCACTAACTCATATTTTGGAACTGTCAGGTTGTATTTAATACTATGTAACCCGTGTCCCAAAGCCCTTTGGTGTGGGTCGCTTTCCTGATTGGTGACTTCCAGCTTCGAGAGAGAAGATGGAAGAGACCGATGTCACTTCAGATTGCTGGAGGATACAACTCGGGGAAGACAACGACCATCTTCTCTCAGTATGATTGGTCCCATACCAGTGGGCCTTGGGACAAGGGTCACAGTCATTTCATAGCAGACAGGTGCCAGTAGGAAGCGCACATGCCCACAGGACCCCAGCTAAGTGACATCTCCTCGACATGACAGAACTTCTCATTTTCCAGAAGGCTTGTAAACAGTGTGAGGCTGAGGCTGCTGAGAAGGACCAGAGGTGCTAGCATGGAGCACTGACAATTGGCCACCAGGAGGTCACTCCGATGCCACCTAGTGGACAGAGCCCTGGATGTAGAACTGCTGGAGGGAAGGAGAAAAGCAGGCAGGGACCACCTTGGGGGCACGATCAGGAATACTAGGTGGCAATATGGCAGTGGGCTCAGTTAAGCTAGAGCAGAAGGCTACACTAGCTGGGGCCAGCTTTGAATTGTAGTCCTATCATTTATAAGCTATGTGCCTTTGGACAAGTCACTCTCTTTCTAGGCCTCAGTTTCTTTTTCTGTAAAAAGAGTCTAGGTTAGATGTTTCCTAATAGATGCTTTTCCAATAAATCAATGGTCCTCTGACCCCCGAAGTCTCCCTCACCTAGTCTGTGTGGGCATCTTGCTTGGGTTGCCTTGGGCACATCTCACGATTCTTGGTTTGCCTTTCTGATAGCCAGGTTCTTTGGGGCTCCACTAACCTGTTTGTAAAACTGGGACCCTGAGCACTTATTTCAATGCAATAATTGAGGAGTCTTAGGATGAACGATGTTATGATATTCACATGGTGATGAAATCCGGTAATCCTGGAAAGAGGGAGAGCGGGAGGGGAAGGAGGGGGGAGGAGAGAAGGGGGGAGGGGGAGGGGAAGGAAGAGTAGAGAGGGAATGAAGAGGGAGGAGAGAGACACTATGTGCACATGTGTGTGAGAGATAGAGACGAGGGGGAGAGCTGAGCCTTCACTGGCTCCAGCCCCATGTGGCTTCCTATAAATTAGTCCATTTCTCCCCTGGTTATGCTGATCCCTGTGGGAACAGAGTGCTAATCAGGGCCTTTTCCTTTGGAGCAGCTCCTCAATGGTTTGAAGTAGCATTCCTGGCCCACAGCCCCTTTATCGTGGGTGACGAAGAGGTATGTTTCTTCTGAACACAACATTCCAGGTGCCGTCTGCTGGGTTTCTCCGAACCTCTCACTTCCCTGGGCTTGGAAGCTCGGACCCTCCTGAGGGAACCCAAGATCTCAGGGGCTCTTTTGTCTGTTGCCTCCCACCACTGATTCTTACTGACCTTGCAGGCCACTCAGACCCCCAGATCTTTTTTCAGAAATCTTTGTCTAGCCAGGCTTCCCTCGCCCTGCACTTTGGGAAGTTGACTGAATATATGGGTGAGTGTCCCCACTTTCTGAAAGGTAAGTGTGCCCCTTTATACCTACACACCCATACAAAGCTTTACCAAGAGATAGGAAACTTATACTCACAGGGAGATGTGGAGACCTATTTAAACACAAATGTCCCCTCCTAGGGAGATGGGGAAACACACTTATCAAGACTTTCATGTGGAGATGGACACCCCATTCATACCACCCACATGTGTTCCCACATACCCCACACATGCTCACACACATGTTCACACACACCACACACATGCTCACACACCTCACAATACACACATAGGCTCACACACCACACATATATACTCACACACATGTTCACACACATACCACACATGCTCACAACCTGATACTACACACACATGCTCACAAAGCACACACATGCTCGCACACCACACACATGTTCACGTACACCACACCCTCACATCTTCCCATGTTTGTGTTTAAGCACGTTTCCTTATCTTCCCATATGTTTGTGTCCCTAAGTCCATCCATGAGAGGGTCTGTGTATATGGAAGCCGTGTGAGTGTGTATTTTCCCTTCTCCCTATGAAGTTAGGGTTGGACAGTTCCCCAGGAGATGTGCTGGGGACTAAATTCCTCTGCATCCATGAAAGGGGGTGGCGTGTGATGAACGGCTTGAGGTGGGGAGATCAGGAAAGGGTTCCTCTGGGAGGTAGCTAAGGGTTCCAAGAGTCAGAAGTAGAAGGAGAACCTTCCAGACTTGGAGCACAGATAGAGGAGGCCCAATGGAAAGAGTTTGGCTAGAACATAGTGTGTGAGGGGGAGGGATGTCAGGCAGGCAGTCAGTTAATCAACATTTACTAAGTGCTTATTGTATGCCAGGCACTGTGCTAAGCACTGGCGATACAGAAAGAGGCAAAAGACAGCCCCTGCCCTCAAGGAGCTTCCAATATAGTGGGAGAGACAGCATGGACAAACACAAACAAGCACTCTACGGGATCCATAGGAAATAATGAACAGAGGGAAGGCCCTGGAATGAAGAAGGGTGAGGGAAGATGGGAAATTGGTAGTCAGAGCAGAGAAGGGAGAGCATTTCAGGCCTGGTGGACAGTCAGAGAGTTTGAGGAGCAGCCAGGAGGTCAGGGCCACTGGATTGAAGAGTATGTATCAGGGAGTAAGGTGTAAGAAGACTGGAAAAGTAGGAGGGGCCAAACAGAGCATCTTGTATTTTGCTCCTGGAGACAATAGGGAGTCACTAGAATTTATTGAGTGGTGGTGGGGGGTGATGCAATTGGACCATCATTTTAGGAAAATCACTTTGACAGCTGAATGGAGGATGGCCTGGAGAGGGGAGAAGCCTGAGGCAGGCAGGACCCCCCTCCCAGCAGCTACTGCAGTGGTCCAGATGTGAGATGATGAGGGCCTGCACCAGGGTGGGGGCAGGGTCAGAGGAGAGAAGACAGTGGATTTGGAGATGCTGTATTTATTTATTTCTTTTTTTGTTTTTCTTTTAGGCAATTGGGGTTAAGTGACTTGCCCAGGGTCACAAAGCTACTAAGTGTCAAGTGTTTGGTCTGAGGCCGGATTTGAACTCAGGTCCTCCTGACTTCAGGGCCGGTGCTCTATCCACTGCGCCACCTAGCTGCCCCACAGAGATGCTGTAGAGGTGATACCCATAGGCCTTGGCAACAGATTGGATATGGGGCAAGTGAGAGAGAGTGAGGAGTCTAGGATGACTCCTGGGTTGGGATCCTGATGGACTGGGAGGATGGGGGTGCTCTCAGGAGTAGCAGAGAAGGTAGGAGGAGGGGAGGGTCTAGGAAGAAAGAGGATGAGTTTCGTTTGGGACGTGCTGAGTCTGGATATCCAGTTTGGGGTGTCTGCAAGGCAGCTGGAGATGGGAGACTGGAGGTCAGCAGAGAGTTTGAGGCAGGGAAGGGAGATCTGAAAATCATCCCTGTCCCCAAAAAGCTTAAATTCTATTGGTGTGGAGGCAACATGGTAGACATCTAATAAATATGTCCAAGAGAGATGCATGTGGAAGGGTGAAGTTCCAGTCCAATGCAAATGAGAGTTGGGGGACTACACAAGGGATTTTGGGGGAGGGGGGCACTAGCAGTTGGGGAGTTGGGATTGGGAAAGGCTTTATTTAGAAAGTGAGTCTTAAATGAAGTAAAGGATTCTAAAGTGTGAGGACAGAGGGCATTTCTGGCATGGGGGGACAAAGGCCCAGAGGTGGGAGACTGGGTGTTAGATGTGAAAGACAGTAAGAAGGCTACACCATAGCATGTGGGCAAGGCCCAAAAGATGGGTAGGGATGGAGTTTTGGAGGACTTGAAATGCTGGAGGAGTCTGTATTTGATCCTAGAGACAATAGGGAGTCATTCGCATTTAATGCTCAGGGTGGGCAACTCTGAAGAGAATGCATTGGAGAGGAGAGAATGCCGAATGGCAGCTCAGGAGAGAGACTGGGGCGAGATCTGTCAATGTGGGAGATATCTGCATCAAGATCACTGAGTGA